CAATGGAGTGAGAGCAGCCTTAGAACTGGGTGCCGACAATTTAGTGGTTGTCGGTGACTCCAGGATTCAATCCAGCAATCCCTAGGGGTGATTGCATGCCGAAAGGAGCCGCTCATGGCCCAATTCAATTATCACAAGGAACTGACGTCAAAGCTAAAGTCAGTCAAGTACCTCCACGTTTTGAGGGAATTCAATGCAGCCGCGGACTCACTAGCGACGGAAGCACTGGAATCGAAGACATCAAAAGTGGTATTAGATGAAAGCCGAAAACTCGAGTTGGCAGGACTCAATCGCATCCGAGAAGTGATCTACGACTCCAGCCAAACCAGAATTGAGGTAAAACCCGTTGCTGAAGACTCAATTCGAAGTATTAGCACCATCACAGCCTCTCAATCCAAACCATTTGCTGACTTCGTCCAGACAACTCAGAGACAATCAACACGCTATGTATCAGCCGTGACAAGGAGCCAAGCAATGACCCAGAATAAGCGGGTTCATTTTGCCGACGATTCAGCAACAACTCATGAAACAGCCATGCCAAAACCAATGTCGACAGAAGACACAGAAAATGCGGCAGTAAACCCCGCGAAGACTGGGGCAAACCCACTCAGTGAGGTTCCAGATGCAAGTGACGTTGACCCAGCAGCGATTCAATCAGAGCGGCGACGGAGAATTGCTATCGCCCAAGACGAAGAGCTTAAATGGCTCAATCTGAAAACGGTTTTACGAGGAAACTCCGACAAGCTCAAATATAGAGCTGCCCGAGATGCGTGGAAGATCGCGGAACGATTTCTCTTGACTGACGACAATGTGTTGTATTATATGAACTCGACTCCGCGGAATCAACAAGCCAACCAAGAGGAATTGAGATTGCGACTGGTAGTCCCAACTACAATGATCCAAGAAGTTCTTCAAAACAACCATGACTCATTGGAAGGTGGACACCAAGGCGTAGTGAGGACATATCAACGAGTGAAGCAAGATTATTATTGGTTTGGCATCTACGCAGACGTTGCAAAACACGTGAAGTCGTGTCCGGATTGTAGTTCAAGTAAGAGCAAACCACAGTTGTGAGGATACTCTCCTGGAAACATTCTCGCCGAAAGACCATTCCAGATTGTGTCGATGGATTTCGTGATTCCACTGCCGAAATCTCGGCGAGGCAACACGGCGCTACTGCTATTCCAGTGTGCTTTCACTGGATTCGTCATCGCAAAACCGATGTCGGACACTACAGCATTCAAAGTCGCACAAGTATTCGAAGAGTGCGTATACCGAAGGTTTGGGGCACCGTCATTAATACGCCATGATAGAGACTCCCCTTTATGAGCGAAGTATTCCAAGCGTTTGCCGAGATGATGCAGTCAAGATTGAGAGCAACTCTGAGTTATCAGCCACAGGACAATGGACAGCAAGAAAGATCAGTTAAGACGGTGATGCAGTCCGTGAAAGTCTACGCCGAAGACCCACTTCAGCAAGACTGGGACGAGATCGCAGAGCATCTAGTCTTCGCCATTAACAACTCCATGGATACTACCAGGAAGGAAACGCCGTTCTACTTGGTTCACGGATGGGATGCCAGCTCAACAATGAAAGCGATGACGACGTCTCTTAGACACGGGATTCCAAAACAGTCCGAGGCCTTGGCGTGGCGGCGGGAAGTCAACCGTCAACAGGAAGTCGCGTGGCGAATGGCCCATGAGTACCAGCATACCGAGAAGTCACGAAGAGCGAGACTTCACAATGATGCATTGAGTAAAATGGAAAAGGAATTGTTGCAAAATGAGGAAGCAGAAGACTCGACACGCCGAGATGACGAGAACTCGGCCGCTAAGTTGAAAACAAACAAGAGGGAGTTGTTTGAAGAAGGAAGTCGAGCGTGGCTCTACATGGAAAGAGTTAAACCAGGGCTCACGAAGAAGCTCGCTCATCGGTGGCACGGACCATTTCGTATCAAGAAGAAAGTAGATGAATTTGCTTTCGAATTGGAGCTCCCAGACAAGAGCGGCTACCGTTTCTATCCAGTGGTGCACATCTCAAGGCTGAAACCCGTAAACGAATTCTCTAGTCGACCTACGACTCAACTCGCGCCTGAGATAGCCGAAGACTCACGAATGGATTTTGACGAGGCGCTCCTTCCCGAAGATTCATGGGAACCAGACCACATTGCAGGAGAATATGAAGTAGTGGCCATCTTGGATGACCGAAGACCACTCCAAACCGGAACCGAAAGTCGGTGAGAGAATTCAAAGTTAAGTGGGTTGGATATAACGAACCAACATGGGAACCAGCGTCACATCTCTCCTGCGGTGGACT